CCGAATGAAGGAATTCCGCATTCCAAAATTTTTTTTTGTGTGTGTGTGATTGTGATTGATTAGGGAATTCTCCCTTTAAACGCTATATTGAGAAAACAAAGTACATAACGCAAGTCGTTTACGTAATAAGAGATTATCGACATTTGTTCTTAAAAAATGTAGTAACGTTTTTGAGAAAATTACACGAAAAGAGATGATATTCTGATGAAGACAAATGACGAGAGAGAGATCACAAATTCAAAATATACAATACCAATTTAGACACTTTATTTATGAATCATTACAAATATAAAAAAAGTATAAAAATCAAACACAAAACGCATGATACACAAAGCATGATAAATTACAATTTGTTTTTCACCACATCATTTGATTAATTAATAATCAGTTTAAAGCAGTATAAATGATTAAGAATAAAATCAAAATGAAACTTATAAAAGCCCGGCCTCAAAAACGACACCTGTTGATGGCAACCACGAATTCCCACCAATGAAACCCGAAACAGTAAACCCTTGAGCTTCAGTCAAAGTCAATGCCGGGTGATACCCGGGCCAATTAACCCGACCCGAAACCGACGAACCAGGACCCGAATTACCAAACTCTCCATAAAACAGAGTCTTCAAACCGAAATTACTAGACCAAGGAGACCAACCCGAAGGATGAATCGAACCATCCAAAAACGATTGCATCACAACGGTTCTCGAATACTGTTTCCATGGTCGACCCAAATAAGTCCCGGTCGAACCGGTGATTCTACAATTATGTATCGAAATTCCGGTATTCTGATTCGGGTCGGATCTTCCTTGAGCCGTCACGTAGTTCTGATCCGAGGAGCCTTTTCTTGATACAAGGTTGCAGCTTTGGAAAACGACGACGGAGTTTCCGAAAATGAAATCGACGGTTCCGTAAATATCGGTTTCTCTATAGAATTGTCGTTTAGAGAGAGTGTAGAGTGAGTCTTGATAACCATCGATTGAGCATCGGTATACGACGGAATGATCTGACCCGACCCGTAATGCTACTGCTTGCTCTGAGTTTGGTCCGGCATTGTTCACGAATGTTATGTCCCGAGCTATGAACCCATCTCCCATGGCAGCTTTCATAA